TTTTCAGCAGAATTTAGCAACCAATCCCTTTTAACTCTTTCATTGTTTGGCAAGATTTGACAAAAGCACATCTAAAAAAATATATGTCCATTTTTGTCTTTGGGGAAACTGAAACTGGAAACCAGGTTTTGATAATATCCAGGACCATTTTCTATTAAGGCTTGAACTTGGGGTGGCAATAATGGACATGGGCATAATCTGGAATCATCAGGCACAGACAAATGTGTATCTACTGCAGAAATTATAGATTTCAGTAGTATTTCTTCTGTTTTTTTCAACAGGTTGCATTGAAATTAAAGGTAATTCCCGAGTGAAAACACTTTCTAACTCTTTGTGATTATTAGATTCCTTTGGTAATTTCAGTGATAACTGAGACATTGATGGACAACTAGTGCTAATAGCATCAGCTGGGATATTCTTTCGGTTCTGGTTTATTAAGTCTTCCTCTCGCTTTCTTCATTAAATTCTGATAGTCAGATAGTTTTTTTTTTTTTTTTTTTTTTTTGTTAAATGAAGGCAGAAAAAATGGAAGTAAAAATAAAAGTAGAAAATAATTATTTTTTACATAAAAAACTTCTTAAAACACTCGGAAAGTCACTGTTTGAAATATTTCATACTTCTGAAAAACTGAATATATATTCAACCATAGCTGGGAAAATATATGAACTATTAGATCAATACCAAATAATTCAAGGAGGTGGAGATACTCTTTTGTTTGTTAAAATAAATAAATAAAATTTAAAGTATGCATTTAAGACGTAATGAAAAATTTTTCCTTTAATTTTCCGTATAGCTAAAAATCGGAAAATGGCAGTTTTAAGTTTAAGATTACCTTGAATATTTTTACTTCAATTCAAATCTCAAATAGGTACATTTTAAATTAAGTGGTACTTCATAAGCATGTCAATCCTTTCTTCTCAAAAGATAATAATTTTTAGTTTAATGAACAAACAGTTTATGTTAAAAAAAAAAAAAAAAAAAAAAAAAAAAAAAAAAATTGAGTAATTATGCTTAAATTGTTGCTTTTCTGAAAAGCTAACCTAAGTTTAACATAATATGTAGCTGCGCACTTACCTTTTTTTATGTAGAATAACAGTAACAACAAACAATCACCAAAAGAAAATCACAAAAAAAGATAAATGTTGCACAAATTAGTATGATTGCAACAGTAGACACAAAATAAGGATTAAGCAATTTGTCAAACGCGTCTACCCTTACATACGGATCGGCATCACGTAAGATCAGCTCAACTTATGTCAAAAACTGAAAAAAACCATCAACTGATAAAAATCAAAATGATATAAATAGTATAGATCTTACGCATGAACTGCAGTTTTTGCAAACTTTTGGAGAAATTGTAGCATCCACCGGTTGAAACTTTAAGCTATACTATTGTCAACAACATAGAGGTGTGCAGAAAAGAATTTTGAATATATACGTAGATATCAGTCTCATCTTCAGTTGATTGCTAGATAGTCATGCATGTATATGCATATATACAGTATAAAATACATAAGTACTCGTGCTTCTGATTTCGATAGTTTGTGCACAAAATTAGGTAAGAAAGTGGTTCAGCCCACGAGCTGGCTTTTTGTTCATCTAAGGTTTAAATGATTTGATGCTGCTGGGATGCAAAAATTGAGATTTGCTAGCTGTATCAGAAAGACGAGACAATAAAAAAATATTAGTGATAACCTTAAGTGTTATAGCCACAATTAAAACATTGAAATGTTATGTATCAGCTTTGCACATAGGCAACGGAAAAATGCATAAATATATACAGTTAAAAGTCGTTAATCCGGACTCGTCGGGACTTCGGCGATTCCGGATTATAGATCATCAGTTTAAATCTCGTAAGATGGCATGCAGAAATTCTAAAATTAAAAATATGAAACCGTAATTTATGAAATAAAGAACAATTATGATCTAAAGAGTATCAAAATTTAGAAAAAAAAAAAACTTAATATTTATTTGTTTACTTTATTAAACATTTCTTTCAATGTAAGTTGCTTCGTTTTATGTGATAATACTTTCTCTTTAATTCTATAAACAGACATAATTTCTTGTTCAACTACAAAGTTCCGCTGTTTAAGTCCCGTAATTGCTGTGCCGAGAATACAGACTAACTTGTCAATCGAAATTTTTTCGTTTTCACTAACCTCTCTGTCACCTTCTTCATGTCCTTATCCATTTTTTGCAGCAATTCCACTTTTTTTTTCATGGACATAGAAACGTACTTTCGTTTTGTAGATCCTTTTGGGAGCTCTAGCATCGGAAATTCTATTTGACATAATCGAAAGTTCAAGTTTACTTTTATAAAATTGCTTTTACAGTCTGAAAAAAGTAATAAACCGGATCCAGTTCGAAGATTAAGGAACAACGCAATCATCAACATTAACTGAAATAGATAATTAGATAATTTTAGCTCATACCGTCCGTTATACATTAAACGCGCACGCGAAAACGTATTCTGTACTTGCGCATACGCATATGCGCAGTCGTAAAGGTCTTACGCGCACGCGTAAACGCCTTTGCGCATGTATCAACGCGGCGCATGCGCAGAAAGTTTTTAGCTTTGAGGTCCGGATTATAGATTATTCCGGATTATGGGTGTCCGAATTAACGACTTTTGACTGTATAATTAGAGGAATAATTTAAAACTGAGATATTCAGTCATTTGAAGCTTATGTGATGTATGACCCAAGAAAACTTGGCTGACAGCCACACCGGCAAATAAAATTATGGCAATGGCCTCAATTAAACTTAATAGTTGTTACCAGACAAAAGATAAACTTTGTAAGCCATCGATAACTACTACATAATTATTGTAAACGATTTTTACTTTTTAATGAAAAAGAATATTTATTAGGAAAAACACATTAAAAGATAATTTTTATGTGAACACTGAGCTTGATAGTTGAATTCCAGAGCACCTAAATCTATTTCAATAGATGTGGTAAATATTGCAGAGTATATTCAAAATGTTCACATGAAAATTTTATTTTTTATATACATCATATTCAGAGTTTGTTTGAGATAGTACACAAATACTGTACTGAGATAATACATGTATTTGTATTGAGATAGTATACGAATCTAGCTAGTGTTGTGGGGTCCCTAAATGCCCAAGTTTACTTTTTAATAAGTCATATAAAAAAAAAAGGTACTCCTAAATGTACATTTGTTCAAAAAGAAGGGTCATAAAACAGGGACTGTTCATGAAATGCTGCATATTTTTCTTCAGATAATCCACAGCTTCATAAAGTGCTGCATATTTTTTCTTTAGTAATAGTTTCATAAATTGCTGCATATTTTTATTCAGGATTTACAGAAATCCACTTAAGTGAATTTACAGCATGTTGCCAACTTAGCCATTATTCCATTAGCAAGTTATGTATGTAAGTTTGATGACAGCTGAGAGTGGAACAAAGTTAAATGCAATTGGAATTTTTTAAATCTTGAAATCTATTCTAAATCTACTGATGAATTGGCAATCAATGCTGCATATGTTTAGCTGTTTACGTGACTTTCTACAGACAAGTTAATCAAATCTTTTGATCAAACTTCAGTACTTGATTTCATTTCTGTTCTTATCTGTTTTAAATATTCTGTTTTAAATATCCTCGCTTTTAGGATTACAGATGATATTTTAAATTTTCAAGTAGCTTTGGAAATTAATGACTGGAAAACTTTCCCACATTTAAAAGTTTTTTACTTACAACCTAAAAATCCTTGCTCCAAAAGTCACAATTTTTTTTTTTTTTTAAACACGTCATCTCATTTCTAGAACCTTCATTTCATGAAGCTGTAAAATGATTCATTAAGAAAATTTAAATTTCTATTAGAAGAATGACATATAATATGTCCCCATTCTTCCCATTATTTAGAAGAGTATACAGTAATTATAGTTGAATTGTACATATCGTGAATCCCCCCAGCATTTATTTTTCGAAGAAAAATTATTCTGGGCAAAGTATTAACCCCTTCACTGCTGCGAGCATATATATATGCCTTGCTCAGCCAATGCATTAACTGCCCCGAGCGTATATATACGCCCTTCCAAAATACTATCATTTGCTTTGCGCTGCTACCTGTAAAATTATTCACAAAGCTTTGAAATGCAACACCACAATGACCTTGACAAAGTATGCGAAGGAGGATACTATTTAAGAGAAGTGTGGGGAGAAATTGGAGAGAGGGATGTGTCTAAAGCTTGACAGTAACGACTTCACTGTATTGGCTGGTGTTGTTTGAGTAAAACATATATATATATATTTTATTTTGTGTCCTCCGTTTTCGTTTACTTTTTGTAGTAGGTTCCATGAATAAAGAAAGATATAACGGACGTTTCAAACCAATTTATCTTTTTTGAATTATTTTTTGATGAACTGCTCGTGCTTCATATTGCTACTGAAACTAACCGTTTTGTAGACGAGTATATGAACCAACACCTTGGAAATGAAAAATCAAGAACAAAATCGTGGCATTCAACCAGTTCAGAAGAAATATATGTTTTTTTAGACATACTGATTTCACAAGGTATAACACTGAAACTTGGTATTACACTTTACTAGTCTAAATATGAATTGGTCGAAACTCCATTTTAGGGATCTTTTTATTATAAAAACATAATTTTTATTATATTTACATCTTTTTATTATACTTTTACTCAAAACATTAAATTTTGTGCATTCATTTTTTCTTTTATTCTTTATTTTGTGAAAGTAAGCACTTTTTAGAAAGTAAAACTTGCACTTATTCCCCCCCCTAAACATCGCATACCTATGCGCACCTGTGTGAAAAAACGTGGCACTGGCAAATGAATCTTGTACATTTTCCGTGGCAGTTAAGGGGTTAATGGTATATAGCTAATATTTCCTTAGAAGCCCTTTTTTAGAAAATTAAGGTACTCAAAATTTAAATATACCCTTTTAATTAAAAAGAAACAAACTCTCAGTAAAGAAGACAATTCATAGAAAAAAATTACTTTTATTTATAAATTACAGTGCTGGAGCACCATATGCATCTGGCATTCTTTCAATGGAATACCTGAAAAATAAACACATATTTATTAATATCTGAAGAATGCAGTATTTTGTAGAGTTTAAATACACAAAAAGCAACAGATTTGTTTAGAAAAATTTGTGCAAACATTTTGAAAACCGTAAATTACTTATTCAAATCAATTACACAACTAGCAAGAAGTATTAAGGGGATTCATATTAATCTGTCTCTAGTTTTTTCTCTCTAGATCTTAATGATTTTTGATTATTCATACTTATTGTCTCTCATACATTTGAATTTAACCTCTTAAAACTATACCAAAGTTTTAAGAAAATATTCAATATTTATATATTTAATCTGTAACAAACATGGACAAACTTACTTATCAACACAGTCTTTAAGTGTTATTGGTTGGAAGAGTATATGCAGCTGCCATGCACTTCTTATCGATTATGACTTAAAAGCTTGTTCATAAAGAGCTTGTTGATAAAAAGCTTGTTGATAAAATAGCTTTATTTAACTGATCTAAAAAAATACTGCAAAAAGTTTTCCATTGTGGAACTTCAGGCAAATGAAAATTTGAATTATGCAGCCATAAGTGCAACAGCTAATGAGAATAACATGACAGAATTATCTTTAAAAATATTTATGATGCAATAATTTCAGTTCAATAGCTCAGCAATAATTTCAGTAATAATTCAGCAGAAAATGCTATTTTAAAAACTTTTTTTCAACCTACAGGAATGATTAACTAATATTAGAAACAAACAAATAATCTCGATTTTGATGCATTAATGTTAAAAAACTGCTTTATTTTTAATCTACATAAACAGTTACCGCTAGATGTCTACTATTTAAATGTTGTTTCCAAAAGTACTGGGAAACATCAGTTACAACATAAGCATTTTTGACAGATATTCCAAATATGAGAAGTAAAACTGGTAATTTTCTCAATTTTACCCCCTTTAAAATCTTACCCAAGTGAATGATTGTAACAATTATCCAATGGACCTGTTAACCTGAAGTGATTGCAAACCATTTCATTGAAGTTTTTGCAAGGAGAAATGAATGCAAAGATAGGATAATTTGCAAGATATTTTTCAAAAAACCCCTGAACAATCAAATTAATATGAAGTGAAAATAATGTGCTTGTAAAAAAAGAATTTTATAACAACTGCCCCCCCCCCCAAAAAAAAGAGGATTTGGTGCTCATAAAATGAAATCTACACATATTTCAGTCTTTTGAATGAAATTATTGAATTTCTTAAAATTCACACAGAATGATAATTTATACTTTTCACAAATCTATATTCCTTTGAATTTATGCTGCCCTTAGTGCAATAGAATTTTAAACTTGAAAAAATAATAAAAAATAAAAATGGCTTTATAATAAGTACTGAAAAGTAAGATGTGTTTTTATTTTTTAAATATACATTAATATGAAATCATAAGCTAACAAACAGTGCAGCTTAAATTCAAAGTAATATGGCATATACTACAGGAACAAATATAAAAATAACATATGATGATAAAACATTTAAATGTTTACCTGTGTTGATAAATGTACATTATTGGGACACCAGGGATCTTCCTTATTCTTCTTTTCAGATCTTTATCACATGTGGCCACAATATAACATTTGTGCTGTAAAAGAAAGCACCTGCTGTAATTTTATTACTATAGAAACCCTTTTACGAACACTTAAATAGTCCTTCTTGCACATTCACTGCCAATCATGCGCTGCTACATGATATAGTAGTACCTGTATCTAAAAGCCTATCATGCACCACTGCATGGTGAGGTATATGTTAACATTTTATTTTCTCACTGATTGGCAATGTAACGGGTGGCCATAATTAAACTGACAGTGCTCACAGTGTTCTGTAGTGTGACCTATTTGTAAGAAGATTAAACAAGACGGGGGACGAAGGATTCCGGGGAAAAAAAATTAGTTCCAAAAGTCATTGCTAGGGAAATATTTGGCGCTGTGTAATAGAAAATAGAGCGTTAACAAATGCAAATCAATACGGAAATTACCTTTTATTTTGCATTCAAATGAAGTTCAATGTGGCTGCCGTTGTTGTGGACCACATATTGCATTCTGTGCACAGTATGCACAACAGCAGAAAGTAACATGTCTGCAGGAATCTCCCGTAGTCCGTGATATGTTATCCTTAGTTTGTTATATAGTCCGTGATATGTTATCCTTCAACGTAGCCAGGTCTGGACCACTCCTTGATAGACTTTGGAATTAAGGTAACCCCATAACCAGAAGTCACATGGGGTAAGATCAGCCGACCGAGGTGGCCATGCAGTTGGAAAGTAACGGCTAATGACTCTCTCTGTTGTGAATTTCTGGCGTAGCATCTGTTGCACCCGTACTGCAACGTGTGAAGGGGCTCCATCTTGCATGAAAATGATTTCCCCCAGGCATTGTCTTTGCTGAAGTGCCGGAATGACAAAGCTGTTCAACATGTAGCGATATTTTTCTCCGATAACAGAACAGGTTTCCGGTCCTGTCGGGGTAATGTTCTCATAGAAGAATGCCTACGATAAATTCCGCTGTGAACCCACACCAAACATTTACATTTAGTGAATGTAAGGGAATTGTTGTGACTGCACGTGGTGATTTGTCATCCCAAATTCGGCAGTTCTGGGTATTCACAGTTCCATTCAGGTAAAAGTGGGCCTCGTCTCCCCATAAGATTTTCCCCGGCCAAGCATCATCCACCTCCATTCTGGCAAGAAAGGTGAGAGCAATCGCTTATTATGGTCGGGGTACAGTAACTCCTATACACGGCTGATCTTGTACGGATAGAAGTTGATAATCTTTCGTAAGATTTTCCACACTGTAAGGCATATCCATAATAAAAGGTAATTTTATTCCGTATTAATTTGCATTTGTTAACACTATTTTCTATTACACAGCACCAAATATTCCCCTAGCGGTGACTTTTGGAACTAATTTTTCTTTCGCGGAATCCTTCGTCCCCCGTCTTGTTTAATCTTCCTACAGAATGTGGCGTCATTCTCACAAATAGATAGCTCTACAGAACACTGTGAGCACTGTCAGTTTAATTATGGCCACCTGATATATTAGGTGTGTGTAGTTCTATAGGCATGGCAGTAAATTTGAGTTTATTATTTTACATTTTTTAAAACTTTTTTTCAAAATTTTCCCATAATATGAGCAATATAAATGATAATTTATCAGAGCCTTCTCATTCTAAAAAGCATGTTATAAGTACAAAAGATCATGAACAGCTAAAGAACTTCCAAAGAACTCGGAAGATAATAGTATATTAAATGAATGCATAAGTAAATGCCCTTTGAATGAAAAAGAATTATGTCCCCTCATGCAAATACTTCTAAATATCTGGACGATATACACAAAGATATTTGTCTATCTATGATTATCTATACACAAATATCTTTGTGTATAGATACAAAGATAGATACAGAAATTTCAATACAAAGATAGATGCAGAAATTTCAACATAACAAAAATCTGTTATGTACAGAATGCAGTTTGAGAAGATGAGTCAACATCTATGAAGTTCTTTCCTTAAATTAGAATGGCTTCTTGGTGAAGTTTCGTATGTCTAATTGTACTCGCAATTTTGTATATCTTTAAATGAAAAAAAAAAAAAAAAATTATGTCCCACATGTAAATAATTCTAAATATTTGGATGATAAAGAAAATAATGCAGAAATTTCAACATATCAAGAATCTGTAATGTAGGAAATGCAATTTGAAAAGATGAGTCAACATCTGTGAAGTTCTTTCCTTCAATTAGAATGGCTTCTGATGAAGTTCCATACATCTATCCCAATAGTTAACATGCTAATGAAACTTAGGCTAATAATATTGTTGCTGAACATTTTGCATTCTGTGCTTTTACTTTTAAAGCCCGGAAAAATAGTACAATGAATCAACGAATGAAATTATCTAGATAATTTTGTGTTACCATTTTCAGTATAATTTAAATATTAATTTTTCTTTCTAAATAATATATTTAAAATTGATTAATGAAATAACAAAGTATATAAAATGTGGCTATTTTTCAAATGAAAGAAATGTGCTTCAGTGAAGAGTATTCTATTGACTCATATTTTAGTTGTATATGAATAAACATTAGATGTAGTAAGCCAATCAGTGATAATTAGTACAGATTAACACAAAGAGACACTCTTCATAATTTAACAATTTTAAAATACATAATGCAGCCAATTCTTTATTCTCTTATGCATACAGATTTGAGGATTACGCATTACTTAATCTTAAAGTATTTTTTTAATTAATTAAAAATATTACAAACATCCAAGTTCTTCAGCTCACGCCATTAAAAATTCATTACCAAGATTTGAAGTTACAAACATTTCTTTTCCTATTAAACCAACAAAAGAGATCTTATGCATACAAGTGATATTATGAGTCTGTCTCAAAAAACCTAAACTTCAATTATTTGGCTAATGAAGGAAAGAATATTCTTTTGAAACACATTTTTAGAGACAAAACTTGCTCCAAATTCATAAATATATTTTATGCAGAAATTTCTTCATCTCTAAACACTTGACTGATTGAATAGAAGTTAAAAGTTTCCTTGTAAAATTATTTTCATCATAATCATTTAGAAAAAGTTAAATAATGTTCATAATTGTTAATTCATAGTTTCTAGTGCACTTAATTTAAAATAAAGTGTAATTAAAAAGAATAAAACTCTTTTGCACTTTTTTATTAACATAACTATTTTATAACAGAAGTCTGAAGAAGTTATTAATGGAGACAGGAAATATCAAAGTTTGGTCTGAAATTACTTAAATGAGAATTTGCTTTACTGTTGTGCTATTGCTAATGACCTGGTATTTATAACTGGCCATTAAGATCATCTGGCATTACTCTCACTGATTTTTTTTTTCTCTAATGAGTATATATGAAGGATGTTATGCATGTCTATAAATTAAGAGGGTACCCTTACCTGAAGATTTATCACAATTATGACAATGTGTTTCGATAGCCATATAGACAATCATAGTTGACTGATTACCTGTACACTAAATGGCGAGAGCTTGGTTATTATATATACATATGCATGAGACTGATGATTCACACATGGGAAAGATGTAAATTTTTAATATCAATAAATTGGATATTTCTACCATTCACTGATAACTCCCCTCTGAAGTCCATCTCAACACAATGCAGGAAGTTGTAACTTATGCTTCTTCACAGGCATTTGACTAATAGATCTAGACTTCTTTTAAAACTTTTTCTTCTAGTAATAAATCAATTGAAGACTAGCAAACAAGAGATGGACTTGAGTAAACACTTAAGTGCGTTAAGAAAATGATTATTAGCTAATGAAATGCTTGAAAATTGATTATTAGCTAACAAAAAGATTTGATATATAAAAAAAAAAAAACTCTCCTTTTCATTGGCTAATAATCAATGTACAGTTTTCTATTTTTAATATTCACAATTAGGATTCAATGTATGATCTTGGTTACTTGAACAAAATCATTGATACTTCATACTGTGATTTATGTATTTAAAATTTTAAAATTAAAGAACACAAAATAATGAAAGAAAGGTGCTATACATGAATGAAATTCCCTGACTTTTCCAGGTGTGTTTTAAGAAAATTCCAGTCTATCCGCATAATGCACATTAGCTGTTCTAAGAGGTAAATTAATTATGTTACCACTTAAAAACACAAAAATTCACGAATTACATATGATTATATATATATGTATATAATCCCCCCTATTATAACTATAATAGAAGCTATTTTTTTCCACAGAAGATGCCCAATCTGGATTAAAAAATATCTTTTTTTGCTGACATTTTGCAACTAAAAGTAGAACGAAATCTATTTAATGATATTTTTAAATAAATTCGGGTATTTTATATTTATTCAGTAGCATACATAAGCAAAAAATATGTGCATTAAATTTCGTGATTGTATGCCATCATACTGCTAGAATTAGTTTCAGGATTCCTGAAATTTGAAAGTATTATTCACTAATAATAAATCAACTTAGGGGGAAGAAGCAACATTAAATGATATGGGTATTAAAAAAAAAAAAAACTTAAAAATTGAATCAGAATGATCAACGATATTTTAGCAAATACAGTTATATTAAATGGTTAGTATTGATGACTAATTACAATTTTTTAATTTGCTGCAAAATGACAAATAAGGCATTTATTAAAAAGAAAAAATAAAGGGTTTAAAAGATTTTGCAGTAAAATCCTAGCTTTCTGGGGGGAGGGAGGGATCGCAGTATGATATTACCTGACTTTTCCAGATTTTGACTAAAGGCCAGTTTACATCTCTCAGAGCAGCTTGCAGCGAGCCGCTTGTCCGGGCGTTTCGAACAGTGAACGGACCTGTACTCTGATATATTGTTTACACCAATAAGAGTGGACTGGCAACTCACCTTCGTTTGTTTACGAAATCGATACCGATGTGGCAGCTGCAGGAAAGAATATGCATTGAACATACATAGATGTTCTTTGGCTGCAGTGCTTGAAGTCTGCGAAGCAGTTTCAAACGAATTAATTTTTGCTCTTCAGAGGTAAAAAAAAAAAAAAAAAGTAAAGGAAATGGGTACGTGACTGGGTAGCTTGCCGCAATGAATTAGGAGTATCAAATGAACTATTAAATGAATTTCGGACGAGAATGTCCAAAGTTACAAAAACGCTATTGCATATCAGATACAAGAATTTAAAAGAAACTCAGTTTGAGAAAAGTTATTTAGTCAACTGTGGTTATTGAAATTCAAGTTAACAAAGTTTTTCTACTATATACAACTGTTTATTTACACCTAATTAATCATTTCCAAAATAATGTCAAAGTAATAATGTGTTTTATTATTTATTAATAGAAAGAATATATTTTTTCATCCAGAATCAGTAGCTCTCTGTGTATGTAATTAATTATGCAGAGTTCTGTCTGGAACTGTGTTATTTCTAGAGAAGAATGCAAAATTAACACATGGGATATTTATTCAAAGCTATCATTGACACGACAGAAATAAACTGTATAATATCTACCTAATTATTCAGAAATCTTAAATAAATAAGAAGTAGCAAAAAACTTGGGAGCATTACATATATTACCACACGTAAAAGAATATACATATCATATGACATAGTTCCAACAGGAAGATATTTATCACAAATTGTTACTTTTGGATCCTACTGAAATTGTGTTTCTGGACAACACACAAAGTGATATCAACAAAATTATTAATGGTTACATATAGTGATTATACTTTACTTTTAAAATGCTAAAATGGATAGTTTAAGAAGATTAGAATTCATCTAGCATAATTTGTATAAATCTTAATACACCTTCAGTACTTGCACTCGCACATCCAAGTTGAATTGTAACGAATTATAGCCCAGAATGTTTTTATACAAAGCAAGAAATTTAAATATCCCCCAATAAAACAGATCCACATATTTTTTTCATAAATCCATTTTTATTTTTATAGTTTATAATATCATATATTTATTGCATCCTCATGTAAGGATGCTTGTAGAAAAATGAATATAAGCTCACGTAATAGAAGTATGCAACATCTTAATGAAGCAGTGAAGTGTTTCCTAAAACACTTCATAAGATGCGTATGCATTAAAAAATGCCATGGTTTGGCTATTGCTTAATCTCGGCAATATAGAACTCACTGTCACGACGTCCCTGCGAATGCTGCTCGGGAGTAACTGCCCGAATAGATTTTTCAACAGGTTCAAAGTAGAAACGGAAGCGCTGACTCATCTCCCCTACGTTTCTACTCCGTCAAAGTGAGCGTTTACATTGTCAAAGTAATTGTAACGAACGGACTCGCTCCGAGCCGCTCTGACAGGTGTACACTGACCTTAAAATATTTGGTACTTTTCCGTTTCACCAGTGCAAATCTCGCCAAGCAGACTTTGTTGGTGACAACATACAGTATACACATAAAAAATTTTAACAAATGTTAGTTCTAATAATTTTTTATTTTGAAGGCATAAACTTTTTAATATGGTTTAAAATTTTGTAAAAAGCCAATAAATAAAAGACAATAAATTTGTAAAAAGACATACTAAATTTAAGAATTTACTATGCTATCATGGTTCAACATCCTGATTCGCCACTTCGTATCACGAGACCCCAAGTGATCTTATCTCACGTAAACTATGCTACAAAAATATAATTATATCAGTAATTATCTATATTAATTTCAAGTTAAATCTTAATTTGGAATACAAGTTTAAATGCAAGAATTGTTTCAATTCGTATGAATAGCTTACTTGGAAATTATGTAAAACCACAGCGGTTTACTTCGCTAGTGCATTCTCATTAGAATTGATGAATTTAACCCTTGATTTTGCCTTTTCTATATTTTCGCCTTCGGGTGAGCTATGTGATTGGATTCTAATTGACTTAATTACCAGTAATTTTCCAGGTAGTGTGGAAACCCTGGTAATAGATGCTAGAGAAAAAAAAATTATGGCATAGCAAATTATTTATATTAATTAACATTTATTATGAAATGGAAAAACTGGTATTAGTTATTTCTAAGAAACAGTATAGCTTTGGGAAGATCTTCTTTTTTGAAGGATCATAGATCCAATTTGATAAACTTCAGAGCTGAGAAGAGTCTTTCCACACTGACTTGAGAAGGAGGAAGAGCTATTTGTTAGAGCTACTTCTTTTAACTTTTCAGGATAGATTTTTACAAGTTCTAAAAGTGCTGTCTTGAAAGAGCAATCATATTTCTCTATTTCTTCAAAGGCCGTGTAGAAATCTTGTTTGTATTTTTTCATTTTTATACCTAAAGGCTCATAGTTCTTTATTTTCATTTGCTTTGCCTTAGCCTTTTCAATATTATCCAAAAATATGTCTCAAAATCTAATTCATCACTGGAAGAGGATGACAGAGACTCAGTTGCAATGTTTGTCCTGATCTCAATACTTCAATTGTTCTCAAAATAATTTCAATCTTATTGAAAGTTCATAGAGTGCTTTCTTCGCCTTCTTAATTTGTTCATCATCTAACAAAATTCGGTGTTTTGGACCTACATATATTGAATCCAGAAAGATCTCATTGTCTAGCAAACTAGTTTCTCTTTACTTCATTGAAAAAATGATTCCTTCTGAAATAAACCTCTTCCATTTCAGAAAGAACAAACATCACATTCTTCCATTCTCGCCTCTTCTTAATTCTTCAGATTATAGCTTTTTTGTGGTTATATACAGTGTAGAAAGAAGAGTTTCCAATTTTGAAAGATCATTCTACAATCTTTCTGTTAGTGAAACATTAGGGTTATCAACATCTTCTAAAAACGTTCTTAATTCTAACAACCTCTATGTCATTAAATATGTACTTCTCTATCGCATTGCTTGATCAATAATTGCTCCTTTTCCTGCTCACTTCCTAAGAATGACATCAATTTTGGGAGTTCTTTCTGCTATTGCTGCTTACCTAAATTTACCAGTGAGATTTCTAGCTAAATGAAGTAACTAAACGAATCAGTTTAATCACTAATGGCAAATATCACATCCATCCTCCTTGCTTATTTTTATTTATTAATATGTCAATAAAATAGAAAGTAACTATTTATTAATATATATAATTCACAGATAAAAATAATAACCCAGTTTGCCATTAATTTTTTTCAATTCACTTTAATTTCATTTCAAATTCAAATTGTCCAACAAAAACTGGAGTCGGAATCGACCTGTTTTTAACGATTCTAGCTCCGACCTCCAATTCCGACTCAATGACTTTGACTCCACAGCAATAATAGCAGCTTTTTCTGATTATTATTTGTCATAACAATACTTCAATCCTCATCAAATAAATTTTTTCTCCCCACTAAATATAAGAAATGTAAGTAAATGTTCAGAATATGTTTCAGTATTTTTTACACTTTTAGCAGTTTATTTTACACATTTATTTTTAATTTTTCACCTATCTTAATTTATTTGACCTAAATTTTAACTAAAAAATTTTTGCTTCTAAACGAGATTACTTTTGCTGTACTTAAAAAAGCTCCTAGTAATACTTTTCAGCAGACGTTCAAACTAGATTAATTTTAAATAGTTATTTATGATTAATATTTTAATTCTATATTGCCAGGAAAATGGGATATTGTTAGTTTCCTTGATATGCAAGAATCCTAGAGTATAATAACATGACTTCGTGAATTTTTGTCCCTCTTAAAATTATGTTCATTACAAATAACCCAATCATGCTGAATACCTTTTAAATGATAGCATAAAATTACAAATAATTGTTAAATTAATGATATATTATAATAATTAAATGCTACATAAATTAGTTATTATATCATAAATTTATATTAGATATAAATTAGTTATTATATTAAATGCTATATAAATTAATTGTATAATAATTAAATGCTACATAAATTAGTTTTCTTGATATAAAAATGTATGGTCACTTTTATGGTTGGTAGAATAAATAACAAACTGCAGAAATATTTTGTAGAAGAACATAAAATAACATTTTATACTATATATTTTAAAGTTTTACCTGAGTTACTCTTTGTACAATGCAGTCATCAGCATAAGTTCCTTTATGCATGCAGGCTAACTTTTGAAATCTAGGGTCTTTAACTATCCTGAAATGGACACATGAACTTATAATAAATGTACATTGAAATTAACCATTTTTATAGAACACTTAAAAACTTCTAAGATAGTCTTATATTCTCCTGTTATATACCCCTCAATTATAAAACATTAAATATATTCAATAAATAGCAGTTTATATTTGCATCACTAAAAGGCAAAGCTTATATAAATAAAAATTGCTGTAACAAAATAATCAAAAATTTGTTTCTGACAGTATTTTTAAAGGGAAAATAAATATATATATATAAACATGGGTTTACATCTCACAGGCTCTTTGGAAAATCAATTTAAAATCAGTGAAATCAAAAACCTTGTTTTACATGCAGTAGAAAATTATACTATTCTATATAATTTTCACTTTAAACACATTTAATTGCATATCATATGTGTGTGTGTGTATATATATATATATAAATCATTCAGTCTATAAATAACTTTTACTGTTGCAGTAAATATATGCACATTACAAGTGTGATTGCTGTAAGCTTTAGGAAATGAACACGCAAATAAGCTTATAAGAAAACTCATTTATCAGGTGACTGGTCAGTAATGGCATTTTTATATAACATTAAGTTTGATAATGCTGAGTGAAAAGTCCTTCCCTGGCAAAATGAAATAATCATACACACAGGTGAATAAGCTGTTCTGCTGTAAAACTTAGATTCATTTTCGTTACAGATGGTCTGATTGAGACGACTATTGGAAAACATGAAGAAAGTTATTTTTGTCATTATCATTTCATTATCTTTGTTATTAACATTTTTTTATGGCTTTCACTAGGGTAACAACGCAACACTGGCCAGCACAAATATTTGAATTTTACACTCAAATGTGCTAGATTAGCACAAATGCCAGGAGTGGCTTGCCAAATTTCAGTCTCCTGGCTGCTTGCTGTCTAGGGAAACCAGTGCAGTTGGATAAACAATGTAATATGCTCAGGTGTTGAAGGAGATCATTTCAGATTTAGCCTACTAACTACAGTCATCACAATTATTCTGGATCAGTACCTACAAGATATCAGAAAGACGTATCGACAAGTAATTAGACATTAATAACTTTCAACAGACAATAAGATCCAGCATTATTTGATTTGCAACTCACTGTCAGCAGGTTATGTACATTCACATGAAGTGCAAAACCACTGCCCTTCACTAGGTCATCTACTAGCTGCAACACCTAAACATGGATTTCATTCCAAAATATTCTTTTGTGCATTTGGTACAATACAGCACACACAGTGAATTTTCAAGAATAATCAGATTATCACTTCAGAAAAGAGTTTATATTCAGCCAGTGCCCACAGGAACTCAGCTCTGGTACTTCTCAGTTCCTAAGTGAAACTGTATTCCAGCTGCAACTCCAAATAAGATGAGTACTTTAATTAATCATTTAGTTATTTAACATTGTCTTAATTTTTATTTATCTCTTTATATGTTATTTAATTATAATTATTTATTTATTTTTTCACTTTTCCAGATGGCCTTCCATAGTGTTCTGGCACTTCTAATTTTAAAAATACAGTTCCAGCTGTAGACCTTTATCATCAATACCTTAACTATCTGAATCAAGCTCTTCATCTCAATTAAGCATTTCATATTAATCAGGAGAAAAGGTATCACCTTACTTCATGACAATGAAAAATTACATGTGGAGTGAATGACCCACTAAAATATTGGAAAATTAAACTAGGAAATTTTGTTCAGTCCATCTTATTCAACAGACTCTGCTTTAACAGATTATTGTCATTGAAAATGATGATAATTATGTAACTGATTACGACATTAAATATTTTCTATTCACTTTTTATTTGTCATTCCAAAATTTCCAAGAAAAACCTAATAATAAAATATGATAAAGCAAATAAGGGAAAAATTATTTAATATATTTTAAAAATATTTTACACAAAAAGTACAATATAAAAACTGACATGTAGGAACACAAGAAAACACAACCATATATATATACATACACGAAGAATGCAAAACTTCCTCAGAAGATATGAAGATATATCATTATATACAAGCCACTCGCTAAACTTAGAAGTTTTCAATGTTTGCTTCCAAGACATTAAAAATTTGAATGTGTCATTACGGCTTACAGAGCCACAGAACTGTGATATATTTGTTCTTGGTATTGTGATGCAAGGAGAGTTGATTGCATAGAAGCAGGATGTTCAAGTCTAATTTAAAACACATGTATATGCTCAGTTTTTGAATTTAAAAGTCATTGGACAGAAATATTCAAATAAAAGTTGCTACCAAACAACATCATTTAAAGTCAATAATTTACTACAGGAAACAGGTGATTTAAAAATTAAGCAGTTTTATGCCAACAATACATGAAGCTCAGCCATCACATTACTTACAATCAAACTTATATAAAATTAGAATCTGTAATTTTATTTTCTAAAAATTTATTTACATTTACAAAATAAAAAATAATACACAATTTTTTGGCCCAGAAACTTTTGTTCATATTACAAATCTAACTGCTATCTTTAAATTATTTATGCAGAATTACTGTGTGTATGTGTATATTATACAGAAAAATGTAAGGGGGGGGTCGATGAAGAAAAAGGTTGACACTCCCTGATCTAGCACATTATTCTATTCAAACTAAGAAGCCATAAATTTACATGCACCATACTTTATACATTCCTTAATTGTTAGACTTTCTAGATCATACAGTATATATCCCAGAGCACTGTCTTTCAAGCATGGTATATGACTACTGGAATGTTTAGATACTACTTGGGTGAGGATCTTAAACTGATCTTTATGTCATGGCTCACATTTTTACATCTTTTTGAAACATTTACCATAGCTATGGATCTATAGGATTAGATCAATGAGCAGCACAACAGTAAGTTCCTATATACTGGTAGTTCAAAATGGGTTCAAATTTCAGTGAATGAGCGGGCTATAAGAGTTTTGATGGTTTCCCTATCTGACACATGAACGAACCAGTTTTTCTAAAAAGGTGCTCCAAGAAGGCATCCTATTCTTTAGGTAGAAAGGCCATTTTGTGATTTTATAATTCAAATAACCTAATCTAAACTATGTGATTGAGATCTACAGAGTTTTGCACCCAATCCAGAATTTCAATTTCATTTTATCAAAGCCAAGTACTGGTACAGCAATATGTGGCCTAGCAAGATCCTGCTGGAAGAAAGTTGCTACCAAACAACATCATTAAAAGTCAATAATTTACTACAGGAAACATGTGATTTAAAAATTAAGCAATTTTATGCTAACAATACATCAAGCTCAGCCATCACATTAATTACAATCAAACTAAGGCTAATTAAGGAATTTCCCTGCAGATGAAGATAAGCATTTAAGGACAGCAAATGTGGCTGCTCAATTGCCTGATAATAATGTACTGATTATTCAATCACACAAAGGTATACTTCACATATTAGAAAAGCCAAAACAAATTCACACATATATGAGAACTAGAAGTTTTATTTCTTGCATCACACAATTTTAGGTGAATCTTATTTGCTTTGCAGATGACCTTGAATTCAGTATTTTAGTATAGGAGTGGGGAGAGTGATTCATCAGGCTGAAGCCCCACTGTCCAGTTCCCAACCAAGCCAGCTGATCCTTGGCTTACATATGACTTTCACCGAATTGGAATTAATAAAAACTTCTGCTTTCTTCTACAAGAAGTAGTCCTTCTCATGCAGCCTGTTACTAACTACTCGTTAAAATACGAAGGTCCTTGTATGCAATTCGCTTCATATTTCTGTAGTTTCAATACCAGGCTGATATGTCTCCCAGCAAGATAATGCAAAACATGATTTTCCTTGGAAGTAGCAATTAAAAGCCTATCTCTGCTACATGCAGTCACAAACAGAAAAATTTCTTTTAGTGCCTGAGGAAAACAGTGAGAGCAGACTCATTCAAATTCATATTGTAAAATCTACCAAATAGCTGTTTCAGTTCTTAATTCTGGGAAATCTTCCTAACGATTTGTAGCCTTAGCTTTTGTTTTTTCACTTTTGAATATGTTAACTGCAGAAACAAGCCATCTAACTTGATTAAAATATGACTTAATGACAGCATCTTATATTTGTCTACCTGTGACTCTGTTGGCATGGTAATATTAAAGCCTAAAAAAGTAGCCTTGAGTCCAGATTAAAGTTACAAAGGCATGGATGTTTGTACAGTTTCTTTGCAGCATACTGGGACTGCTTATTATTGAGCTGAAAGGCCTCTCAAGAGATTGGTAACATGTAGATGATCTATTCCCAGATTGTTCTTCATCAAAATTGGGATGGAGCTTACCTTTTTTTTTTTTTTTTTTTGTCTGTAATTCAGTCACCTCCTATAGTGCACCTTAGTACATGCTCTTGGTGATAAGATAACAAAGTGCAATGGGTTTGCCCATTTGCAATGAATACTTAAGCAAAGTATCTAACCATTGGGGGAGAGCATTTATACATTCATAACTATATAATGAAAAAATCAGAAAAATTTGCATATAAAGAGTAGCATAACAGTCAAGTGCATGTATACTTATTACGTTCAAAAATTCAATATGAATAATGCTTCTGGACAAACCATAAGATGCCTATAGAAATAACACTTTTAATATATGAGCTACAACTAGGGAAAGTTAGTAATTCTTACTTGAGGGCTAATCGAAACTTTCTCCCCAATTTCTCTAATTCACCAAGGACACAATCTGTTACATATGGTATACCTATAATATAGAGTTAAAACAATGTATATAAATGTTTTAAAAAGAACAACATATTTAAACAATCCCCTCAAAAAATATGACTTAATGACAAAGCTTTGTACAATACAACATATTATTTTTATCTTCATTGAAACTTTTAATTACCTTTATACAATTCATTCTCTTATTTGAAAGAAGAATATTCACATTTAAAAAGCAATAAATGCAATTTTTCAAAATTTTTTTTTTCAGGAGTTAAAATAATACTTCTCTTTGAATAATTTTATTTATATTTCAGTTTTGCTTAAGATACTGCACAGTTAAATACCAATGCATAATAAGTAATAATGAGTTTTTTACCACTTAGAATATATTATGGAGATATTCTTAGTACACTACATCTGAAGATACTTCATGTGCAGAAAGAAGGAGGAAAAGAAAAATAGATTCAGTGATGTAGGTGTTAATAAATTCTCTTTTCATGCGATGAAAAATATGAACTTTGCATGTTTCTTAATTTAAAAAAATATTTCCAGAATAACAGATATTTTTTTAAAGTTTTTGCTGGTCATTATTTAAAAGCTATTTCTTATTTTACTAACTGACAGCCGGATAATTTAGCTACAAACAAATTCTTGCAGTTCTTGAATTACATCATTAAATGCAACAAAGAATATTTAATATATGAAGCAGTATTACAGAACTGTGGCATCCCTTAATTGTTTTGGAAAATTTTAGAATCCATGTATGACCTCACATGTAGTAAGTATATGGATCATGATAAATTGCCAGTATGCATCTGAATTTAAAAAACTGTTAAAAATTTTGGGAAGCACAACTTTAATATTGGACATACAGTGCCTCAGAAAAAAGAGTGTAAAAAAGTGCACCATGGCCTACTTTGGCGAATTCAAACTCAGGTCCATGGCTATGGCAGTCAGCTTCCCTGCCACCATGCCATCTGGAACAGCAACTAACATTATTGATAATGTAATTGATCAATACAAATAAATTGGCATTTCATAATTAAATTTAAAAGTGGCATTGCAAAAATTTAATGCAAACCTTTTATGACGATGATCCAAATTATGGTAATATGAAAATACATCTTTGGCTCTTATGTAGCTGTCCTGAAATAATTTAAAAATTATGGTAATATGAAAATACGGTTGATCTTATGTAGCTGTCCTGAAATAATTTAACTCCTAATTAATGCAGACTTAAATCCTATCAAACATATTTTGCTAGAATTTGAGTTAATGTTTTTATAATTTAAAAATAAAATATTTCAGTGAAGCAATACTGAAATTTTTAATACAAAATGAGAGCACACTTTTCTTATACTACTTAAATGTCTGAAGAACTAAAAACCAAATGTAAGATGTAAAACATAAATTTTTTTGGGAAATATTTAATAATTTAACTGTGTTACTTTTATTATTATCCTCAGAGTATAATCACTTACGAAATACATTGTATTTTAACTATAGAGCAATAGTATGGCGTAAAGGAAAATATATTTGAAGTTCTCAAATAATTTACAAAACTGCCCACTAATACAATGCATTTGGCTATCACTAATTACTAAAATAAGTTTTGCTTAAAAAAGAAATGTGACGATTCTTATTAAATTTGCTGTTTTTTTTTAACTATTATATGAATCTTTCCAACACAATAATGAGTAAATTTCTCATTTCCATCAAACAAAACTAGGAATAGCCCAATTTTAACGACTTTAACTTAGACTGTGAATGGACAAATTAATCTATTCGATATGAAATAAAATATGCCGACAGATAAAAAAACTTTATTCTTCCATCTAGAAACTAAACAATATATGTGGTAAATGGTAAATTACTAAGATTTTCACCTGAAACTGAAACAATTTCACCTGATACAATTTCGTTATGAAAATGTTTTAAGAAAGTAATGAGTAACAACTAAGTTTAGTCTAAATTTCTAACACACTCTTTTTTTTTTTTTTTTTTTTTTATTTTGATTATTTTAATTTCCATCAAAACACTTTTATTCAATATATTTTGGTTTTCAGTTTCATAGACCTAAAAGGCATAAAATTTATTAAGCTTTGCCAAATGTCATTTTTAAGCAAAATTTATTTTGAATTCATAAAATTTAAATTCCATAATATTAATATAATTCAAAAACTAAGCTTACATTTTCCACATAGACATTCCATCATGGAGTTATATACATCTAATTTGTTTTTGATAGAAAAGTTTACAAAGTTGGTGTCTACAATGATATGATACGGAGGTCCAAGCTGTGTGTTATATTTGAAGAACAATGCAGAGGAATGCTGAGGCCTGAAAAAAAATTATCACATGAGAGAACAGAAGAATTTTTCTTTGAAAAAATACTAGATACGAGCACCTCTTTACACGAGAAATTAAAGATTCGACGAAACTACGAGCGAAAAAATTTGTCTTTAAATACGAGCACTGACTCAAGTAACGAGCAACGAGCCAGTCTGCGGGTAATGTGTAATGCGTTTCTCGATACGGCTAGACGCGGAGAATCCCCTCAGCTGATCATTCAGTGTTCTTTGATCTACGTGTTTGTGCACTTGCGAGTTAATTGTTTTTTACATTTAACGTGAAAATAATTATTTCATGATGCCTCCTAAGAAGATTGTCGTTTCAGGTAATGGTGCAAAGAAAAAGATGGAAGACATAGCCGTTGAAATTAAGAAAAAAAATCATAGATAAACATATGTGTGGTGTATGAATGATGTAATTGGCAAAGATTTACAGCTATTCGATATCAATGATCTGCACTACTATGCAGAAGAAGGAAGAAATTAAGAAACTTGAAGTGGCCAAAGGAATTACCGTTATTTCCAAGCACCTTATAAAATTTCTAGAATATGTTGAGAAGCTGTTGTTGGTGTGGATTAACAAGAAGCAGTTAAAACACGATTCAATGTCGGAAGCTATTATTTGTGCTAAGGCTAAGAATCTGTACTTGGATTTTCTTTGAAAAACACCAGGTATGTCAACTGAAGATGAGATGGTAATGAGATATTTGGGGGGTGGGGGTGGAACAGATTAACTGGATTTCCATATTTTCAATGGGAAAGTTTGTTTCTAGATACGAGAAATTCACTTTACGAGCTCAGAGCTAGAATGAATTGAACTCGTATCTTGAAGTTCCACTGTATATATATTCAATTCATAGCTTGCATATTTTCTCAAACTAGTCCAAGGTTCTCCAAAAAATTATGACCATCTTAATGGCATTCTCATTTATGAATATACAATTTTACAATTTTTTTGTAAATGTATGACTTTATAAAATCAAAAATCTACTACAAAGCTATTAAAATAACATTACATATATCACAAAAAGACATAAATGTGAAAATATTGCAATGAAAAAATATCTATTCCAATCTCTCTGTATGTACATTTTTAACAACCAAAATGTTAAAAATTCAGTAATTTATAAACAAAAGCTAGTTTTAAAATTAAATATAGTATAAAGTCCGAAATGTGGATTCATTAGGACTTCGGTGATTCCAGATTTGAGATTTTTCCAGATAGTAGATCATCAGTTTAAATCTAGTATATTCATACGTAAAAATTATAAAATAAAAAAATATGAAGTAGTAATTTATGAAATAATGAAACGTTTATGACCTTACAGGGGGTCACAATTTACAAAGGAAAAAAAAAAAAAAAAACCCTCAATATTTATTTGTCATTTTATTAAACATTTCTTTCAATGTAAGTTGTTTGAATTATTATTTTTTGTTTGTTGTTAATACCTTTTTTTTTTAATTGTATAGATAAACATAATTTCCTATTCAGTTACAAAGTTTCATTGTTCATGTCTTAAAATAGCTGTGTCGAGAATTCATACTACACTTTCAGTCGAAATTTTTTTGTTCTCAACAACCTGTCACTTTCTTCAATATCAACAGCAATATTTTCTGGATTTAGGGCCATACAACAAATTTCACCATTTGTTAGTTGACTGATGACTGGGGCATTGTCGTCGCAATGAAAAACTTGTTATATCATTTTCATTTATTCACTTTTTCACAAATTTCCCTGGAAAATTTCACTCTTTGTTTGCAATATGTGAAAACCTTCAAATTCTTGGCTATCATAACAAAACTAAGCTAGCATTTACTATACACTATTGGCGATGTATTACAAGATTGGTAGCTAAAGACATGTTCTGTTACATTTTCTCTTGCTTCTATTGCACGCTGACGAAGTTATGCCTGAATTATATTACTTATTTATTATACCTATGTCTATTTCTCACACGTGCCAGGGCATCTGAGTCTCTAATAAATTTTCCATATATACTTAAGGCTTATCCAGTACCGGCATAAGACATTTTGTAGCCAGATGCAGTCTCTACAAGACTGGACTTTTGCTGCTAAGTGCCTCCATAAGTTCTAACAACTTTGTTGCCCCTAAATTCTGCAGCTCAAGGTCCTTCCTAAATTTTGCTGCCCAGAGCAGTCACATCAGTCCTGCACTTAGATGAATAACTAAATCAGTTGGTCTTAATTCAAACAGCACTAAATGTAATCTTTTGGCTTAGAAGTATCATAAAGAAATTTCTCCTTGTCAACACACTCAAGTTGCTTAGCAGCAGCATTAGCTGAAGTCTGTAATAATCCCCAAGCATAATGTCAACATAAAAGGTTATCAAGCTCTTTGGTATTCAATTACTAATATTAAAATATAATAATAATAAATGTTCAGACATTGCTGGATGAGTCATTTCTCAAGCTGCTGTGTTGATATAGTTATGTGGTTGTGAAAGCAAGAAATAATAAAATAATAAATAATGATTTGTCAGAGATATAAACTATTCAGTAGGTGTAAAATCAACAGTGTTTTGATGTAGAATATTCTGGTTTGAGATGTAAGCTAAGTAGAAAAGGCTACAGAGTCAAATTATTGCTCATAGAGATTTATGCTAATAAATAATTACTTCTTCAAACTTTCTTGCTTTTTATTTTGTGCTGAAGCAAAATTAAAAAACAATCACGACTCTCCACACATTTTATTATGATAAAATTTCAAATGCACAATCTTTGATATTTTTTATATCTGATTTTTCATAATATGTCTTTTTATTTAAAAATACAAATATAGAATGTTGAATGATCTAAAATTCACTTAGTTCAAAAAAGTTTTTCTAATACTTGCACAATAGCTGCAAAGTAAGATATTAATAATTTATTTACTAAAGAAATATTGATTATACTGTCTCCTAATATAAATTTAGTAGAAGTATGAAAAAAGAGGGAACCCATAGGTAGAATTTCAAAAATTCCAAAAATTGTGTTGTAAAGTAACTTGGATGTAAATTATGAAAAAGACATTTTACAGGGACTTGAATTTAAATTATGAATAACAAAATTTCAATCTTTAAAAAAGAAATTTATAATTAAAAACATGTAATTATTGCTATTAATCGGAAATTAGTTGATTTTTGAAGGGGAACAAACCAAATCCCATTCAATTAACAATAATTAATAAATGCGAAGGTGTTTCGCCTTTTACTCAAGTAAGAATGATGATGCCAAACTGGCAAATTCAGTTAGGTCAGAATTGTAGTTCCGTGAAGTGATGGGATTTATAACCAAAGAACTCATTCTGAATGAAGCATTTTCGCTAATACAAGATTCTTTATAAATTTTGAGTGAACAGCAATTTACGTAGTAAACTTTACAAGATACTTGAGTAAATGTCCCCTGACACCTTCGCTTTTATACATGTTAATTCAAGACTATGTTTATAAAAATAAACAGTAGTAATATTGATTGGAATTATGAGATAGAACTCAAAGTAATTGAAATAACCATGAGAAAATTAAGAAACGCAACAATGCTATCTTTGCAAAAGCAAATCAAATAAGAATTGAAATATATATAATAAGAAAGTAAAATGAGAAATGTACATGAAGATATAAAAAGCCAGAAATGCATTAATTAACTTACGTTCTTTCTAATGGGATCTAGTCAATTAAGAAACACAACAATGCTATCTTTGCAAAAGCAAATCAAATAAAAATTGAAATATATATAATAAGAAAGTAAAATGAGAAATGTACATGAAGATATAAAAAGCCAGAAATGCATTAATTAACTTACGTTCTTCCTAATGGGATCTAGTGCCGGTAAAGTGTTTTTTTCTGCGTCTTTATCCGAAGGGGTGTGTGTCCAAAATTCCGAAATCGGCAGCGGGGATACTTTGAATTATTACAGGCGGTGAAACTTTTGAGAAGCTACGAGTATTTTTGAGACGTGGGAGGGACTAGGAATTGTCGGAGTGGAGGTTTGTTGCAGAGTTCTTATGTGAGTGAAAACGTCCGTTAAAATTTTGAATATACTAACTAGTGAATAGAAATTAATTTACATCCAAGTTACTTTAAAACACAATTTTTGGACTTAAACTTCCTACATATGGGTTCCCTCTTTTTTGATACTTCTACTAAATTTATATTAGGAGATAATATATAATCAATATTTTTTTAGTAAATATAAATATACTATATACATACAAAAAAGGGATTATTGTGATCTAGAGGAGAGGATTTTTATATCATCCTGGATATTAGATGTCCACATTTCAGACTTCGTACTGCAATAAAGAAAAAGGACATTGACATAAAATTATTGCCTTCAAATTTATACAATTATAATAATTTAAAACAAGAATTAAAATATAATTTAATCTTAAAACTTTCTGTTTATAAGTCTGTTCAAATACTATAATTTTAGCTCAAAGAAGTGTTAACCCAGAAACAGCATTTTGTGTTGAATCACTTAAATGTGAGTATCACTTTTCAAACTGTTGCCACCAAATATTATCTCTCTGTATTATATTTAAAGAAAACTAAATAATGAAGAATCTGCATGAATGTAAGTGTGTTTCTCACACTGTGAAAAAACTATGCTACCTAGACTCATCAAATTTTGAATAACATAGTCCTACACCCAAACATGGGCATTTGGAAGGCCCGAATCTGGAATTTGTTTTATTGCCTATTTCATATTTTGATATTTATTATCTTCTCTTACTGAACTTAAAAATTTCAAAGCAAGCAGTGGCAACACTGTAGGTAATAAAACATTATCTGCAGCATGCAAGACTATTGGAAATTCTAAAGATATTCTGTTTTTAGATATTTTTAGCCCAAAGTGGCATTGGCCCAAATGCTTGCAAAACATTTATGTGTCTGTAAATGGGGGGAAAAAAATGCCTGTTTGGGTGTAATATAAAATCTGAAATCTTTCAGATTTATATTACACCCAAACTTATTATTTATTTTTTCTTTT